ACTGTACACCAATATATCTCTGTAGTCTATCGCTTTTCGCACTCCAGACTCGACTGAATACATTTGTATGTCGATGAACACTCTATCGACTTTCAGATGACAGTCGCCACCGCTGATAAAGGAGACTGGATTCAAGTTTAGAAGATTATTTCTGCTGAAGATTTTGGCAACTTCCTTAGCTCCGTCGGTCGACATGATTTCCCTGAGGTCCTCAAAGAGCAAATCGTTTTGGTAGTGGAGGACATCCGTTTGGGCAAATGGATGCTCTCTGATGGCTGTGATCGCGTCACTGACCTGTTTAATCAGAGTATCCACTTCTGAGTGTGGGATACAGAATAAGTCCCTGCCAACCTTTAGTGTAGTGACCAAAACGTCTCTCAGTTTCTCCAATCTTCTAACTATCTCGGAGTTGCTGATTTCGTGGTCGTTGTGAGCCAAGTTATTACGGGAGTTTTTAATGTAATTCACGAGGAACTCGAGGCGTGAAAAGTCTTCAGACGTCCACACGTTATCGGTGGCTGGCGCGACGCCAGCGCAAGTATTCTGGATGAGCTTATACAGGAGGCTGATGTCTAACTCGTCGCCACTACTGTGGTACTTGAGCTTCTCCCTCTGCGCGCCATCGAAAATGGTCTTGTATTTTTTGTTGGTGTAGCCGAGGTTCTGGAGCAGATACTCCTCATACGTTACCTCTGGAGCCTTTTGGCACCCCCAGTTGAGGATGGCGAGCATGACGCATCGCGCCGGTCCTCGGTGGGCTTTGTACAATCTAAAGGTATTGTGATCCTCCTGCTGGATCCCCGTGCTTAGTCTGGTCAGTGCCATCTCCGCAGTGAATCATAAAGCATTTTGGGTCATATTTCTCAGAGTCAGTTCTCTATATCTTGGCAATAACCAAAAACACATTCACTGAATAGCCTCACATTCCCAATCTTTACCGCTTTCGTTTTACCTTTCTAACATGTTCTTAAAAAAATATGTATTATTTCATACATCTTCTCATTGCTTGATCGCACTGTCTTTCAAATCACCAAATCACCCACATGTGTTAACAATACTTTTGGTCACACAACACGCGAAAGAACGAGGAGAGGTTCGCCAAGACTGTGCGCTCGGCCCTTGGAGAAGTGACGCCTTTCGGGATATCAACACGAAGCATCCGGTTTCCTGACTGGCGCGCGTGTGTGTGTGTGTGTGTGTGTGTGTGTGTGTGTGTGTGTGTGTGTGTGTGTGTGTGTGTGTGTGTGTGTGTGTGCGTGCGTGCGTGTGCGTGTGCGTGTGTGTGTGCGTGTGCGTGTGTGTGTGCGTGGGCGTGTGTAAGTATGCGTGTGTAAGTGTGCGTGTGTAAGTGTGCGTGTGTAAGTGTGCGTGTGTGTGTGTGTGCGTGTGTGTGTAAGTGTGTAAGTGTGCGTGTGTGCGTGTGTGTGTGTGCGCGTGTGTGTGCGCGTGTGTGCGCGTGTGTGCGTGCGTGTGCGTGTGCGTATGCGTATGCGTGTGCGTGTGTGTGTGCGTGTGCGTGTGTGTGTGCGTGGGCGTGTGTAAGTATGCGTGTGTAAGTGTGCGTGTGTAAGTGTGCGTGTGTGTGTGTGTGCGTGTGTGTGTAAGTGTGTAAGTGTGCGTGTGTGTGTGTGTACGTGTGTGCGTGCGTGTGCGTGTGCGTATGCGTATGCGTGTGCGTGTGCGTGTGCGTGTGCGTGTGCGTGTGTGTGTGTGAATAATATAAAATAAAACATCATAAATTACAGTTCGCTGCACAAAAAAACAATAGTTACCATTTTTTAAGTAACTGCAAAAAAAATGAATATATCCCAAAAGCAAGTATTACCAGTTCTCATTGGTGATCTTCCTCATTCTCGCGTTGTCTCTATTTCCTGTCTTTCACCCATCCTCTCTCCCTCCCACTCTTCATTTATAATACAAGCACATGCAATACATTAAAAATTATATTCATGATCTGCAGTCCGTCAGAGGGAGCATTTTTGCCGGCGAGGTCACTAAACGCTGACCGAAGCAGTGGTACATCCTGTGTGAGAAGAACGTTTTGTAACTATATTCATCAACTTCCTCTGGTCTAGCTACCACATTCGAAATTCGGAATCTTTAATTAAACCACTGTCTGACAATTTTAGTCTCAAAACAAATGTTGGGTTTCTTGTATAGATATTAATAGTTTTCAAATGAATCTGCTTCAATCGTCACCCTCAATGACATGCTTGTGATCTGAAGAGAGAGTGAAATATGACTTCCCTCACAATGCCTCCTAGTGTGTACTCATTCAAGCATCTAAAACTCCAAAACCTTATTAGTTCTACTCGCTATCTCTGAATCCACTCTCTTATCAAAAACGTTAAAAAATCTCGTCGTCCACGTAATTCTATCGCACTGTACTTTAATTTTCCCACAGAAATATACAGTGAAACTTTCAGGAAGTCTATTTGGCACTGTTTATTAATATATGGAATTTCTCAACTTCTCGATATCTATTTTCTACTATCTACTT